GGATTTATGATCTCATCAGTTGACACGACCGGCATCACAAATCAATCAATCAATCATCCAATCAATAAACAAAACTACATTTATATAAACACAACAAGTGTTAGCTATAACAAAAAATAAAGTTACAGTTTATATGATACATTCAGTTATGTCAAACTTCACTACATACAAGTACTATTTAAAAAACAACATTCCTTCATACACAAGATGCATTGTATTCCTTCTCTTCAGCCTCTCTGGTAACAGTGAAGTGCTTAAGAAATGGTAATTTGTTGTCCTGTATTTATCTGTTTATTTGAAATTTTCAACAGACGCTTTAGAGGATAAAACTATATTTTTAGGCAATAACTTTGGTTAGGTCAGGGGTGTGTTAAGAAACATTCTGAGAGATAGTGTTCTATACAAAATGTCATTTGCTAATGGTCATCAGATATTCGTAATATTCTTTTTCTTACAAGTAATGCTTTCCCATAAGTGAAACCATTAAACACTAATTCTTTATTCAGTTTTCTGACAGTTTAATCAATATAAGATTAAAGAAACTACTGATTATTATCACCACCTTGTTCAAATTTCCTTAGACTCAACCAAGTAGCGAATCTTGTAAGCCGATAATTTGAAACTCAACGCAGATGAAAGTACGTATTTCTTGACCTTAAATAATCCTAGCAAGAATCTCCGCCGTCTCAGTTTTCCTGAACTTTATTATGAGCCATTTTAGGTAGCTTATAAGCTGGAATGTTACATACCAAGATTTGTTGTATGTGCCCTTTTTTGTTCTTTTGTCAACGGAAAACGTTTGAAATTCATTCATCGCCTCGGTATTTTAATTGATTCCATAAATAGATCCGTCTTCCAAAGTCTTCGAAGGCGCATCAGTCGTTAGGGCAGGGTTCGCTGACAGAGCGAAACACTGCCCGCGGCGTCGCCGAATCAAACTGTGAGCTGCTCTCCATAATTAATTACAACACTTTTTATTAGCTACTCCGCGCCCAGTGTATTAATCACGCGCCCTGACAAGGAGCTCCCAAGAGCGCTCGGAGGACGTCTGAGATCGCACGAGCGCCCGTTCGAGAGGAGAGCGAGCGCTGGGGAGAGAGATTAGCCCGGAGAAAGTGGCTGTGACCGAAAGAGAGGATGAAAATGTGTAATAAAGTGTATCAGAGACAGTGGCGGATTACCACTCAATGGGGCTCTAGGCGAGTGCAAATGAGTGCTCCCCCCTCCTGTTTTCATTGACCTCAATCCCCTCACGATATTATGTGTTATTAGGGTAAGGATTATATATATATATATATATATATATATATATATATATATATATATATATATATATATAACGTATCTTTAAAAAAATGGACGTAAGATTTTATTTTAGTATATTTTTGAAGTCCTGGAAAATGTGTAAACAAAACAGAGACTGTGCTCAATAATAAAAAATATAGTGTTTTCTCTATTTAAAATGTACTCGTTGAATTTCATAGTTGCATTTATGACCTAAAAATGAATTCATGATTACAAATGTAAAATGTCTATTTCGTTTAATTTATTAAAAAATAAGTTTTTTAAAAATAATGCATGCCGTCGTCAGCTTTAAGCAATTGCCTTGTGCTGCCTATTGGTTCATCCACCACTGAACAGAGGTGTATGAGAAACGGTAAGTGAAATGGTTTTGGAATGGTAAATATATTTATTACAGTTTATCCTTACTTTTTTGACGAAGGATCTCTGTCGGGAAGGATTTGATACTGTTGGTGTAAATATGTGAACTGTGTTAGTATCGTAGAAATGGGAACCATCCCAGAAGATTGCAACGTGGGGCGTGACGGAAAGGGTCGGGACAACAAGGGACAGGGCAAGCAGGAGCTGACAGGAATGAAACGGGGCGGGACAGGGCGCGAGGCACAAAACGAAAAAGAAGGGTTCGGGAGATGGGACAAGGTAGACATAACACGGAGCAATAAAGCCTGAAAAAGAACGAAAAGGAGAAAAGACGTTTTGACAGCGCACCTTGGGCCACGCTTAGACCATCCCTCAAGATACTTGATATCATCATTGATGTGCTACCAGTGTGCTGATATATTTCTTGGGGTGTAATCAACACTCTAGGTTCTGACACTACCATGATATTTGCCTCTCACTACTTTTGCTCAAATGCTTCTGGCTAAAACATCATCTAAAAACGAATGCTTGAGATTCTGCAATTTTAGCCGGTTAATTTAATCCATGAAATTTCAATTTTGGATAATTTCTGTGTCCGATCCTTTGACATTAATTCACTCATAATTCTAAACAAAATTGAATTGAATGATTGGTCTTACTGGGAGTGTCAACTACTGAGCTCATTATTCCCGTAAGTGTAGTGTGTGTTTTTATCATGGAAGGTGAGTCTGATCTTTCCCCACTCGATGGTGAGATCCTTAAGAACCCCACCGCCGGAGACCCCTGCAGTGACATCACTTGATGCCCTGATCAACCTCCGCTGGTGCTCACACAAAATTTAAATTATTATTTGCTTTTGTTTGTTGTTTTTTGTCAACTAAACCAATGAGTACCGTGTTAATCGTACTTTCGAAAAGAAATCAAAATCGGCTGTGCATTTGAACACCCTTTTTCGCTAGATTCTAACCAACCTCTGAAAATATCGCTACCATGTGGCCGTTCGTCCATATTGCTATAAATATAGGAAATAATCTCATTAAAACTAGCCATAAAATTCTGGGGGGGAAATGCAATCTTACACAGAGTAAGTCGACCATCTCATCCGAAAACCCTTACTTTTTAAATCTTACGACTTCCACAGCGTCGCTGTCTCATATCATTCGCAAGGAGGGCCCCGCGGGGGCAACAAGCGAGCGGACAATCTGTCCACTAACTCGCTTTAAATTACGTAACCCGCTGTCTCGTCTCCGAGATAAAAGTCCAACAACCTGAAAGCAGCTGTACACGAGGACGCGTCACGTCGCGCAGCCAGGATGAGCCCCGCGTGCGGCCCTATCTCTCGCCCGGAGCTCTTCAGACTTTTTACGACGCGCGCCCAACGCTCTGTGATGCCGACGCCGTCGCCGTCGCCGCCCTCTCGGCCGCTTTTATTAGCCGCGCCGGCGAGGCGTCGCGACGCAGCCATGCGCCGAATTATACGAAGACGCCTCCCACGGGCCGTATGGACGGCACCACGTAGACGTGTGTCAGGACATTGACAGGTTGACGAAAAATGAATGAATGAGTCAGGATGGGAGGCTAGGATATTGGTGCAAACGTACGAATAATGTTCTAAGAAGAAGTAAATAATAAGGGGTAATAATATGGAGTAGCCCGGCTCGTGCGAACATTCCAAACACACGTTTTTTTTTGTTATTTTAAGTTGCATCAACATCTAATTCATGAGCGATCACTATTGGATTCAATTATGGTTACCGTGAAAACATTATATGGTGATGATAAGGGGTGAAAGGACAAACACAAATAGAACCATGGCCGAGTACTCGAACCCGCGATCCGTCAGTCAGAGATAGCTACGGCACTACTGCCTGACCGGTCTCGGGGGCGAGGGCTTGACGACTGGGAGTTAGCGATGCGACATCGCCAAGAAAACATTGATGTTTCCAAACATCGATGCTCAAAATTAAAACATCGATGTTAATAAAACATCAACTCAAAACTACTATTTGTGTCATTTTCAAAATGACGTTCATGCGGAGGGGATGAATTTCATTTTAAAATGGTATCGTTTATTAATTTTTAATAGAGATTTAGCTGACAAAACAAAATCCAGAAATCACCAGAACAGTTTAACAAAACATGGATTATCTTATTCGACAATTCAAAAACTATTCGACAAAACAAAACTTGTTTTTTTTTTGTTATTTAAGGTCACATCAACTACTAGGTCATTAGCGACCACTATTGCTTGTAACGGTATGGTAACTGTAGTTTGACACGATAATGATGATGATAGGGGGTGAAAGGACGAAACACAATACAACCATGCCCGAGGCGGAACTCGAACCCGCGATCCTTCGGTCCGAGTTCGCTACGGCACTACCGCCTTAGCGATCTCGGCCACCGGATCGGCAAAACTTGTTATATCCGCGAGATGGCAGTGTTCTTCCCCCTATTGGTGCACCCTTCACGTCGCGTTATGGGATTTTTCCTTCCAGATATCTACGCCAAGGGACACTACCCAAGCGCATATATATAATGTATGTGTGTATGTGTGTGTGAAAGAGGAGAGAAGAGGCAAGGATGAGAGTAAGCAAAAAATCACGCGGGGGTCGTGGCTCGTTTGTGAACGTAGAGTTTATGACCCGACCTTAACAAACGAGTTCTCTAGTATTGATCAGAGAAATCACGAAAAACTTGCGATCAGAGCAGACTACCACTTGGGTTATGCGCCCCATAGCGGATGAATTAGACATACAGCTATCTATCCGGAGGCGAAAAACTTTTATGATCGGGACTCGAATCCTAGAACCTTCCAATTACAGCTGCAGAGGCAACAGTTGTTACTCTGTACCATTTCAGGCGGTAAATAAAATAACCAAAAGATTGTATTTTGTTATGACACTGTAATGTTTCTGTTTGTAGTAAAGATTCCTGGGAAATAAATTGAAGAATCTTACTTTCGGAATGTTCTTCGTATACGAACGGTACTTTTTGTTCACGCGAGATTCTGCTCGCTCGTTTTATGTACGGATCGGAACTCTAATGCATTCACATTTGTACATGAACGTCCTAGATCACTCGATTCTCTTGGAATGTATTTGCATCGGCCCTTAAATGTCACTGTATTAATTCAACTTATTTCCAAGAGTTGCGTACCGGTTTATCCGAGTTTGTGACTTCCGGCAACAAATTTAATCGCACTCCAGAACAATCAGTATATTTTGTTTTATTTCCCCTTTAAGAGTTGTAGTTAACATTGATGAATTTATAATAAATTTTACATAAAAAGGACTGTGACAAGAATGGGCTCAGTGTAGGTGTCACATAGGTTTTTATTATTTGTAACCAAAGAATTTTTTTTTGACATCCTCCACCATTGTAGCTGACTGTAAAAACCTAAAGTCGTGGATTTTAATAAAAACATAATAACAAGGAAAAGCAATAAAAATTGGTTTTCAGAGATACATTCGTATGGAAATTATTCTAAAATATTAGTGCTAGTGTCAATAATTTTTGTGTTTTGCTGAGAGAGTTATTTAATAATCATCCTAACTTATAATTTTCGCTGACCTTGTCAGATATTTCTTACACTACCCTATCAATCACTACCTCGTTGTTTCGTTTTGTCGCCTCTGAATTGCATCTCCGGGCAGTTTTTGCTTCTATTATTTCTTATCTTGAATAACAGGGTGGACGGCCAGTCTTTGTATGCATGGATGATTGCTTCGTGGCAATAACTCTCATCTGCAAGAGAAGTAGGCTGCGACGGCATACACACGCAGAAAAACTCGTCACGACGTTGGAGCCAATAAGGAGGTCAAAACAGCTGGAATCGTTTGTAAGTAGTACATTCTCTGCAGCAATAATTCATTATAAACGTAGCGGCAAATTGTATTCTTGAATTGTCTTCCATTTTAGAGCACACAGAAACATCGTGATCGAATCGATACGTCATAGAAGGCAACTTACACCCTTAGCTCTGTTAATGTTTCAACATTCTGTTGTTTTACGCGCTTTCTTTCTTTCTTTCAATGAAAAATACTTTCATTATCTGTTTTTCTGTGATGTTTCTCAATTATTACTAATCTCTATCTTGTAGCTAGCTATCTCATGAAGAAATTTTTGGTACGTGACCGAAAGTGTTTAAAACATGTATTTTAATTTTACATTCATTGAAATTGACATATTGTAATAATGTATACTAACAGTATGGCTATCACTTTTATAATGTCCAAAACTGCAGAAATTTAACAAGGAAGACTAAACTTTTGAACTTTATTCATCACACATAAATAACTGCATTTAATAGAACTATATTTGTCAGAATTGATGTACCATGATGCGGTAAGTCATTAATAAAAACGTCTTAGAGTACATCATTTTTTGCCACTCATAGATTACATACTGTTTCTCAGCCTTTTTACAGGAACCTTATTCATAAACAAAATTCAAAGAGGAAATTAATACTTAAAAATTTAGTCCAGAGAACAATTTTGATAATTTATAATCTCTAGTTGTGTACATTTCAAGACCAAAAACATCCGCTTTATTCAGGGTTTATAAGCTACAACAGGAATGTGCTTAAAAACATCACTCGTAATGTAAATCCAAAAAAAAAGAACAAAATCAAAAGCTCTTTTTTCTTTTTTTATTATCTTCCTCTAATTCTTCAAATTCTTCTGCTTTTCGAGATAAGCATTCACAGATTTGAAACAGCGAAATAAAGTATATTTTACACGTAGGTATTTTACACACAAATTTAGTCGACTTCGTGTCGCATTTGTGTGTTGCTTCTATAATGTGTTTAACCAGTTAGATTTCTAAACGTTTCCTCCTCCTACTGTGGCTGACTCGTTTCCCAGATGCGAGTACCACGACACCTCTCACGTTTCACCTTTTCCTCACCTGCCAGTAGGTCTGTATCTTCAATGTGTTCTTGCTAAACTATAACGCGAATCCCGCGATCCCTTATCGATTTAGCCTGGTTTTGCCGTAACCAGCGTTTAAGGGAACCAAGCAGAATTTGTTGTAGAGAAAGCGTGTTAATGACTTTTTTGTTTACTTGTTGATAAGTCCCTTCTTTTAAATGATGGACAACCACAATGTAAAATGCCAAAAAAATTTATATAATAAATTTATTCACTTTTGTTACGAGTTCCTCCACTATCAACGACTCAATTTAAACGTTCAACTGTAATGTGGCTGGACAGCACTCCACCACTTACTTTAAATTACAGATATGTTTGGCTATAATTTGTAGATATTGTATATATTTGTGTATATACTAGTTGTTTTCAGTAACAACAGTTGTACCTGCTGAGGAAGACAGAACAGTCTCCGAAACTTCGTAACAAGTGAATAAAATTATGTGAAAAAAATAATTTAGATATCCATAATTTAAAATAATGGACTAAACAATAAGTAAATAGAATTGTGTTGTGACAACCAATTAAAAAAATTAATCTTAATAATAATGACTTTTTTCTAGAACCTCCCGAGTATCTGGGTCTCAATCCATTGATTCTTCGTCACTAATATCAATGACATGAATAATACTAATATGTTCAAAAAAGTTCACTCGAATTATAGTACTGGAATTATATAGAAATTTGTTCATTTTTTCACAAAACATATGATAGTACATCACTACCCATTGTTTATCATTATCATAACGTATAACGCAGTCATTTATTAGCTTAGCTTATGCCAGACAGGTTCACGTACTACTTTCAAATGTAAGACGCGGACTGACACCCGAAAAAGGAAACGCTTAGTTAGCACTATTATAGGAAGTCAAAAATGTTTGCTACTAGCAAACATATAACAAATAAATGTAACAATTATCTTCCGCAATGCTTTTCAACCCCCAAATGTTTATGTTTTTTTAGAAATAAACAACGAAACAAGTTTTCCCGTCCTGGGACATGAACCATCGCACATAACCTTCTATACCACATCATGTCAACTCCACTTTCATCAATTCTTTAATTCATTTACCATCCCAGAAAAACATGTCCACATAGGTTCAAGGCCCGAAAGGGCGATAAATGTCACGAAAGTCTCCGCAAAACAGAAGCGCATCGCCGGCGTAGCTAGTCTCCGCTTCGAATGCAAACGGCGAGCAATAAAACCCTCACGCACCACTGCAGCAGCGCAGCGTAGGCTGAGTGGCAGCGACGCGAAGTGCGCGTCACCCGGCATCCGATGTCCGCATCACGGGTGTAGCGCCAAGCCACTATGCAAATGCGCAGCGCGCGAGCGCGCGCGCAGATTACGACGTCGGGATTCGAACCCGCGCTTTACGGCTGCGTTTAACGGGCGTCGAGCCCTCGGCAGACAAGGCAAGACGACTCCGGCCACCCCAGTTGCATAAACGCGCGGGATAAGTCTCCCAGAAATGGCTTCGCGTCGGGGACGAACTCCGCCTGTAGCGTGGCGTTTCGGCGAGTCGCCTGACGTATGCCGCCGTCAGTGGCTGGGCTGTGAGAGTTACGTTGGGGGCCATTTGCGTTTACGTTGTTGCGTGTTTGAGACAGTAAAAATCCACTACTAGTGCAGAGCGCAAGGAAATGAAGTAAAAGAGGCTGCTTCTTTTGTTTTAGTGTTTTCAATTTACTTCCCCAGACACACTATGATGAAATACGTTTCTGCACAGAATTTTTTAACAAACGTTAAAATAAAATATGTAGTGTATTCTTTCAATATTTTTAATGTGGAATGTTTGCACTCTTTACGATGCTTATTCGAAAGTGTAAGCAACCTACCAGCTAGTTGAATTCAATTGTAGAAGTTTCTGATTAAGGGATATTTATTACTGTGAAGTTAAATCCATACCAAAATCAGTATCGCAAAGCACCGGGTTTATCCGTTTTTTTTCTGGAAGAGTTTGTAAGAATCGTAATGCTGAACTCGCTGTATGCAGCTTCTGAGTTACAAGTGCGCTCGAAAAGTTGAGCTCTCGCAAGGAACTCTTGTTTTTGTTTGTAAAGGAATATCGTAACTAATGGTTACAATAGCTACAAACAAATCACAAAAGTTACAATTTCGTAACCTCAGGTTTTACTAACTGCTTGCTTCTTTATTTATCTATTTCAAACTTAGATGAAATTACGAATGTATCGTGTAGAGGAAAATTATGCATATTCTAACAGTCTCCTCTCAATCTTCTAGTCTATCTTTGTGATCGTTGAAGTCCTTTGTTACGCGTGTGCGATTTTAAAGTCATAACTTAGAGTTGTATTAGAAGGACGTCTACACAAACAGGAACGTCCCGACAGTCGTCTTCGCATTTATAGTCGCCACAAGGCTTTTCCAGTGCAGAATAATAATGTTGACTAAGAAGATAGGCTTTCAAATTGAATTTACGGAACCTTAAGTTTCTAAAGCATAGGGACTCCTTTTGGAAAGACATACATTGCCTTTGAATGTAAACTCGATACTATAATTGTAGATCTATAATGATAAAAACAGTTAATAATGAATCGAATGTAAGTTTTGTGTGCTTTCTCTCTCCTGCTGGGGAAATGAACCAAAATCTAATGCTTGTCTAGAACAGTTGTCAATTGAAAGCACGTGTTTTGAGAATTGAGGAGAAAGAAAGATATAAACAACAGTTTCTAAAGCGACCTAAAATAATTAATTTAAAAAAGATATAATTATAGATTTTACTTATTTTACGACTTTATCCATTTTCATAATAAACTACTAATATGAGTTATTCTGACAAATACATGTGTTTTAGTATCATGGGTACAATTAAATTTTAACCATATTATCTCGAGGTACTGCTTTTAAAATAATGAATGAACAATATAGACAGACATAATGTTTTCAATAATAAATGAAAGTATGATAGTATCATACTATATAACTATACAACCTAATATATATATATATATATATGCATACATATAATACATACATACATGGTGTGTGGGATGAAATAAATCATGCACGTGTCAAGTCATTTCTCAGTTATAAATAACGGGACATGTTTATTTCCATTTAGAGTCGATGTTAAATTCGAAGTACGAGTACATAATAGCCTGGAAGTTGACCGTCGATGTAAAGCAGAGTTACACAAGCAGATAGATACAGATATGGTTACTTCGATCGTAAAGACGGCAATAAATCGCCGGGGAAGCTTTCCTCCGCGAAGACCAGTCGTTAAGAACTGCACGTTAATTCCACAGTTTAGGAAAGTCGTCGCTTGTTCTTCGCGTTGCCTGCTGTCCAGCGGTCCTCGCAGCCATGAGCTCCTGGCCGAGGAGGAGGGGTGTGGCAGAGGGGCAAGGGGACGAAGAGGTGGGAGTCGGGGGAAGGGGAGGGGGCGTTTGCGCTGTGCCCGCATCGCTGCAGGGGCGCCGCCTCGCTTCAATTGCAGGAG